TTTCTCATTGAGAAATGCACATTTAGCCATCTACAAATTCCATACATGTGTTTAGTAAAAGGAGACGTTGTGCTACCAAAGGAGAACATAAGCCAAAGATGTTCTATTATCCCTATCCTATTAAAGGTCAGACAGAACTCTTACCTCAGTGCTATAATGTGACCAGAAACTTAATTGAAACTATAGGGAAAAGTTATTAATAAAGAGAGGAAGCCACAGTAAATTTAATACAGCTCACAGAAGGACTTTTGCTAGAAAGAGAAGGTTATACAGATAGATAGGCCTTTAATTAAGGTGTATTGCTGGGTTAAGTGTAAATTTTCCAAGCAAGCATGAAGATAGAAAACTGGTAATTGCTTCCAATTTATATTATAAAAATCAGTCATATTCATTTTACTTCCTGTGACAGCCTTACTTAATTCTCAGGTTCATTCACTTAATTGAAAGGGAGAATTCTTTGAGTAAAAACATCAGGAACTGAAGAGAGAGACAGCCAGACTGCGAGAATTGAACGACCAGCACTTTAAATGAAATCATTAAAGTCCCTCGTCCAAGATTCTCAATAGATTCATGTTTGCTGTCCTCAAGGGATATTTATTACCAAAGCTGAGTAGGAAAAGATTGGAAATTATATCAGAAAAAAGTCTCTAATGGCCTTCTTGAAAACTGAATCTGAAGAACTCCCTGTTTCTATTCCTATCATCATTTTTCCATGGCTCACAATTAGTGTAGACTAGAAACTCTAACATTTCTCTCTCTGAACACCTCTTGTAACAATGGTAAAAGTTGGTGAAGTGTAGAAACTAAATTGCTTCCACCATATTCTCATCTTATACTTGCTCACAACCGAGTTACAGGAGGGAGTACGCTCATAGAACCATAGAATAGTTAGGGTTGGAAAGGACCTTAAGATCATCCAGTTCCAACCCCGCTGCATGGGCAGGGACACCTCACAATAAACCATGCCACCCAGGGCTCTGTCCAGCCTGGCCTTGAACACCCCCAGGGACTGTTGTAAGTATTCATGCAACTCTCTGCATAAATCAGCCTCGGAAAAAAGCCTCACTAAACTGATGTGTCTTTGTGTATTTGGGAGCTACCCAGTTAGTGATAAGGAAACAATAGGTGGCGGCTTAAGTGGTAAATAACAGGCAGTAATCATAAGAGCTAGCATTTAAAAGTAACAGTCCTGGAGAATACAAGTAATCCACAAGACTAAATATCAGGATCACTTGTTGGCTGTTATTGAATAGTAAATCTGCATCTCACTTGCAGGTAAATTTGCCTTAAAAAAGAAGATTCTGAGGGGGCTTGTTTAGGATTTCAGTGTAAATATTCACACAGCTTCAGTCACATAGAATCACAGAATGGTTTGGGTTGGGAAGGACCCTGAGATCATCCAGTTCCACCCCCTTGCCACAGACAGGGATACCTCACACTAGACCGTGTCACCCAAGGCTCTGTCCAACCTGGCCTTGAACCAGTACTGCCAGGGATGGAGCATTCACAACTTCTTTGGGCAACCTGTGCCAGTGTCTTACCACACCTCGACAGCTGCCTGCTCTCCTTCCCCTGACAAAGCCCAACACAGGGCAGCTGGTTCCACAGTGACTGATACTGGAGAAAAGATATAATTCTGTGATTATAATCAAGCAAGGTGCTCTAAATTTTAATCTGCCAAAGCATGAATCAAAATAAGTGCCTCATGAATACATTCCTGGCATGGGCAACTGGGTTCTGCTGCAGACAAATGCATCAGCAACATTGTGCCCAAGTCATTCTGGGATCCATTTAAGCAACCAGTTGAAAAGGATCCATAGCAGAAAGAGGACCATAAAAGTGACGAAAGGTGATGCAAAGACAATGATAAGTAGCACAGAGCTAAATCTCTGCCTGTCAGAAGTCAAAACTACCCTATGGCTGGTTCTGGTCTACGTGTCTGATTTCTGGAGTGAAGTAACAAGGGATATTCCTCCATCAATGGATGTAAAGAGAAATTTAAAATGTCTTGGTGCTAATCGTTCAGCAAATATAAAATAATCATGTTGTGAATGTATTTAATGCTTTCCTTTTTCAAAGTGATAAGCAAGCTTTAAGTAATGAAACAGCAAGGTTAATGAAAAGCTCAGATGTTGGGTTGCTAATAGAAACAGTAATAGACTGAATGAATTATCTTTAAACAATTCAAGATAAAACCACCAAAACGTGCCTATATTCACCTGAAAGGAGTGAGAGCTCAATACATCGAGAATACTAAAGCTAGCAACAATACATTTCTATCTGTCAGTGGGAAGGGAAGATAGAGCCCCAGAAAGCCCAGGGAGGATTAGGGAGAACAGTAGACAATCGACAGTGAAACAGAGACAAAGCTGGGAACAGAACTATAAAGTGCTTGAGGAAATCCCTAAATCCGTTGGTATTAAAGCATTTACAATGACTTTTCAATTTCGTGACCAGCCTCACTATCAGGAGAGTTCTGTCATTTATGGCAGTGGAAGCAGGATCAGGTCTTTAAGTCAGTAAGTTAAAAAAGCTTTAGTGATGTTTGAAGCAGAAACACACTTATGGTGGTTTGCTTAAGAACGATACAGCTCATGGCTACTAGTAGGCCCTAGTTGTGCCTACAGAAACAAGTTAAAGCAAGGTAAGAACTGCATCACTGAGATAACCCAAGTGCAAAACCAAATTGAAATAAAACCCAGAGGGGTGTCTGTTCTCTTTATCCCAGCTTATTTCCGTGCTCTAATTTAAATCCCAGCTCCACGTAGTTGGGCTGGCAGCAAAAGGGATGGTAACCAACAGCATGAGGGCAGAAATGAACTTCCAAGAGTAGAAGGAACTTCTTAAGAGTGTTTTTATTGTTTTGCTTTTGTTTTCAGTAAATGTAAAATAAGCTGCCTCCAGGAAAAGAGAACTAAGTTAACTTCCATTTTCCAAGGAACATCCAGGCGCTTATCACAGGCTTCCCGGAATGTTGTGTTCTCACCATACCTCACTCTTCTCCCTACCTCTGAGAGGGACAGAGCACGCATATTAATTTGGCACTAAAAACCAGTTCTGATAAACCTCCACATCTCCTAGGAATTAAGACCTTAAAAGAACTTCTCTGGTATCTGAAATAGAGCAAGATGTGAAAGACTGGCAAAAGCTGAAGAAATATCCTGGAAGCTCCCTTTGCTTTCAGTAAGTCCAGGGCTAGATAAAGTGTAAGAAGAAGGGAACGGAACTGTGTTATCCAGGGGAAAATTATCCAGGATTCTTAACCAGAGGGACAGACCCAGGCATGTTTAACTGGAAGCATCCCCTGTCCTGCCCCATACCAGTTTCTGCTTCTGCCAATAAATTTAGAGCTCTTATATCACATCTCTATTGTGCAGTGGTTCTAAAAGGACACAGCGCACATAGGAAAACATAGCCATTAAGATCAGCTTCATCACTCCCTCTTCTGTATATGACACCTCTGTTACTCAATCGTTTTCCTTGTTCATGTGCTCTGAAGAAGCCATGGAGCTTTGCATCTCAGTGCTCAGCCAGACCCAAGAAGGTACTGCCAACCCATCAGGTCCAGGCACCATTCCTCAACATCCTTCCCCCATCCCCGCTCCTGCCATTTCTGTATCGTTGTGTCTTTTCATTTGGATCTTTCTCTTTCATTTTTAAATCTGGGGGTGGCATCTTCTTCTCTAAAGCCCTCTGCAAAGCATCTTTCCTCATGAAGAAGTCACCCGATTAGCCAACATGCTGCATTTCTTCTTAGAGAGGGATGAACTTATCGCTCTTTAGTTTCATAAGCACTGAGACAAAAGAAACCTACTTCCCACTCTGCCTTTACCATGTGGACTCTGATACAAGAGAATAACAGACTTCCACCTACATCCTGGTCATGAGTCTGGTTTCCTTAGAAAACTTGCCTAAAATAATTCTAGCAGCACTTATCTTCATGAACAAAAATATGCTGTTGACCATTCCCATGGCAGGGGGTTGGAACTAGATGAGCCTTAAGGTCCCTTCCAACCAAACCATTCTGCAATTCTATGTTGAAATATCTTTGTAACCATTCAGGTCATTCCATCTAACACATTCTTTCTGAAGAAAGCTGAGCACAGTAACTAAAGCAAGATAAGAAGAAAATCTGGCAACGAACAAGCCAGCAACAAGGCACAATTGCCTAAAATAAGGACACAAGTCATGAAAAGCTTGAATCTTCTTCCTGACACATCTTTCTTTTTGACCAGTGCTGTGGGCCTTGAGGGATTTATTTCTCATTGAAGAAGTTACAGTATATCTCACTCCTTTTTCACCAGTCCTATTCATAAAACAATGATTTTCCAGATTTCTCAATCTACTATAGGAAGAAAAAAGAAGTTTCCAAAATCAAGTATTACTCAACACTAAGCAATATGGTAATAAATCTAAGAATGTGGTCTTTGTCAGGACCCAGCCCAAAGCCCTGCAATGTCTATGGAAAGACTTCAGTCAGGCTTATCAGTCCTCAGCTATTAGTTCAGACTGCAATGTGGATCGTGCAAAGGGAAATAACTGGGTCTTCACTTGGCCTTTTCAACAAACAAGTGCCAGCAACATCAGTGGGAATCATGCACAAGCAGGCATGGGTGAAAAGCAAGTACTCTGTCTGCCATCAGCTTATGTAGCAGACATGGTACCTAGGACAACGTACCCCATACACTGCCACTCAGCCCAACTGCTTTTAACAAATAACAGTCTGCAAACACCAGAATGGCAAACATCACTGAGTGATACAACAGCAGGAATAGGCCCAACATGCAAGCTGAAACCAGGGCCAGGTAGGACCCTTCCCCTTTCTCTGTAGCTTTGCTGATCCCTTTTCCCTTCAAATCATGGAGTATTGTGTGCAGTTCTGGTGTCCTCAACATAATAAGGACATGGAACTGTTGGAACAAGTCCAGAGGAGGCCACGAGGATGATCAGGGGACTGGAGCACCTCCTGTATGAAGATAGGCTGAGGAAGCTGGGGCTGTTCAGCCTGGAGAAGAGAAGGCTGCGTGGAGACTTCCTAGCAGCCTTCCAGTATCTGAAGGGGGCCTATAGGGATGCTGGGGAGGGACTCTTCATTAGGGACTGTAGTGACAGGACAAGGGGTAATGGGTTAAAACTTAAATAGGGGAAGTTTAGATTGGATCTAAGGAAGGAGTTCTTTACTGTGAGGGTGGTGAGGCACTGGAATGGGTTGCCCAGGGAAGTTGTGAATGCTCCATCCCTGGCAGTGTTCAAGGCCAGGCTGGACAGAGCCTTGGGTGACATGGTTTAGTGTGAGGTGTCCCTGCCCATGGCAGGGGGGTTGGAACTGGATGATCTTAAGGTCCTTTCCAACCCTAACTATTCGATGATTCTATGGTTCCAGAATTACATATTCATCAATCTTCTGGAAAAACTTCTACTAAACCTTTTCACCATATTCCAGTATTTAAAGGGTGGTTACAAAGAAGGAGGAGATTCCCTTTTTACAAGGAGTTGCATGGAAAAGATGAGGCGTGATGGGCACAAGTTCCTCCTGGGGAGATTCCGACTGGACACAAGAGGAAAATGTTTCCCAATGAGAACAATCAGCCCTCGGAATAATCCCAGGGAAGTGGTGGATTGCCCAGCACTGGACACTTTCAGATTCAGCTGGACAGCATACTGGGCTATCTAGTCTAGGTCATGCTTTGCCAAGAAAGTTTGGACCAGATGATCCTTGAGGTTCCTTCCGACCTGGGATTCTATGATTCTGTGGTCTTACACTGTTCCCTAAGCTCTTCCATTTGGTCTGCTTCTGCCCTGACCACCCCAGCTATATTTCACTTCAGCCTCTTAGGATCCAAAAAGGGGTAAGTGTGGCCATCAGACAGAAGGCCTTAATCTTCATGGTCCACAGGCTGCTTTAGGCAAAGGAGATCACATCCAGCTCTTATGCATGTGTGTGTGTATAGAATAGTTTGGATTGCAAGGGACATAATGCTATTTCCTAAACTTCTAGCCCTGTTAGTATTAGAATGCTCTGAAACCGAATGGCAGGAGTGATTTATACGGTCACCACCACGCTAAAAGATAACACTATATAAGTGGTGGTATGCTCTCATGGACAGTACACAGGGCAGGAGTCCAGAAGCCTGAGCTCATCCTGCCACTGACATCCAGTTCAACCTTAGGCAAATTATACAGCTTGATCCTAGACCTATTGAAGTCATTGGCAAAGGTCTGTTTGACGTAACACCACCGATTCAGGTCCTGCATCTCTCCTCTTCTTGCAAGGTGCCTCTAGGGTGAATATGTGTGAAGTGTTTCAAAGATTTAAAGTATTACAGCTGTCATCTTGCAATTCTTATTCATGCCTGCTGATTTCTACTTGTGGGAGTAGGCCCGTTGGCTCCATAGTCGTCATTATTTGTAGCATTTCTAGTATTATTCATAACACATCTACTTTTCTGGCATATTAATTTTAGCAGTGGAGCGTTTTTAGCAGCACTCTTTCCATATTCAATACATGAATGATATAATTAACCAAAGAAATGGCATAAGAAACACAAAGGAAATAGTATTCTTATTACATTTCAGTATTGAATTGCCCACAGTTACTCTCAAGTCAAGCCTTCTGCTGAGCTGAGAGCATTGTCACAGAATCACTTGCATTGTTTTGGGGGGACTTTTTAGTGAGTCTAAGTTAGGACTCATTTTTCTTAGTTTTAGAGCTTTACTCTATCAAAATGTAAAGGCAAAATCCCACCTTATGAGAGGCTGTAGCATTACTACCTGACCCTCAAACACAAGCTCGCAAATCTTAGCCCATATTGTATCTACATGATGGAAATTTCAGCAGCCCTATAATGCAGCCAGGGTTCTTAGATCCTTCTCTGGATCCTCAAAAAGAAGTAAAATAAAACAGGTCCAGAACAGACATACAGGTTTGCCAAGTCTGCTAAAGTTCAGTTTTATGACTGAATGGGCCAATTCTTTTCCCTTCATTATCCTAATAGCTGGAATTGCTCATTCTCTCATCTCTCAATCATTCTGTGGTGGTGTTGCTACAGAATGAAGCAAATGCCTTCCTCTAGGAAAGAGCATCATAGGGCAGAGATTCAGAAGGGGGGCCATAGATTAGATACCTGCCCTTTCTTCACCCCAAAAGGAGTGGCAATGAGCAAAAAATCTACTATGAATGCCACCTATACAGGAAAAGCAAGCTGCTGAGACACCTTCAATACATGGACAGGTCTGGAACGAGGTTAGGTGAAAAACTGCTAGCACTCCCAGCACGCCTGCAGAGCAGGGGCAGTTGTTCTACCCCACATCATCTGTCAGAGCCAGTATGACTGTTTCCAGGACCAGTTATATCTGCTTGATTACATACAGTTCAGGCAATTTCCATGATTGTTTTCATACAAATCAGGCTTTTGGCCTTATAAACAGCATTCTCTTTTATTAAATGTGGCTCTTTGCATATTGCAATGTATTACTGTCAGTCTTTATCTCACCTAACTTTAGCTGCCTAACGTGAATCTGCAATACTAAACTACCCACCCCAGTTTCTCCACATATTTTGTTGAGTATTAGGAAGTGGTATTATGAAGCAGCTTCAAAGGACAATTCATTTCAGCCCAGCAGGACAAAGACAGGATGAGTCACAACCTCAGAGTACCTACTTGTCCCCACTGACAGCAGATCAAGAGCTGGGTGGCTTGGTCAGGCTGAATGCTTAACTTCAGATGGCTTATGTTAGGTGAAACGAATCCCACACAGATTTTTACTCAACATCAAATTCTGCTGTTTCCCACAACCTAAATGATTTTAGTCATCAGGTGCCTTACTCACTGCCTAGTGCTGTTTTGTTCAAGGAGCTGATTTAGGGAGTAAAAAAAGCCTTTCCTAGAAATGAAAAAGGAATGTGCTTCTTGCACTTTTCACTGTGCTTCTGTTAGCCAAGAACTTCCTGCAGCATGGCAAGGTGTGGGTGTGGTGAGTGAGCTCTTTGTGCGTAAGAGATGCCAGTGATGCTGTACCCGGCGAGTAGGACTTCATTTCCAAAGCTGCCTGGCAAGCAGTTGGCCAACTTAAGAACACAGAAACTGGCTGGCTTGGCCCCCAGAGCTGTGTTGGTTGGTGTCCTAGAAATCAGCATGTTCCACAGAGCACACTGGAAGTGGACATCCCAATCCTATGGAACCTCAGCAGCAGCCTGGGGGTGTCTGATTCCCCCACAGCCCTCTGACAATTAGAGTGTTGGGTTTTAAAGATGCAGCTAATGGATATCCTGGTGACTCAACATGAGTCAGTCCAATTAAGAACTGAATCAGGCTCTCCAAATATTCCCATGAAGCTCTTCCTCTGAAGACTTCAAAGTGCATTACAAAGATTCAAAGTGCTAACGAGTAGGATAATCCAGTGATGATATCAATCCTGGCATGACGCACTTCCCATGTGACCAGGGACAGGTCCACTTAGAGGCACACTTACTACACATATTTAGGAGCCACACAGAGATTTGGACTGAAATATAATAAAGATTGCATCGTGACAATATTCTCTGCTGAATTCTATAAACTGGTTGTAAAACTTTATAGAAAGAGCATTCCACTCACTATTGCACTCTAGGGGCTTTCCTATAATAAATACCTGTCCTACTCCAGTTTGGAACATAAACCAAGCTTTCCTGCTCAGCCAGATCTATTGTCTGAACCATGCAGCCCTAAAATCATGATTTTGCCATCAACCTCCTGTTTGAGGAGGAAAGAAACAAAAGGCAAGGCTGAACAGAACCGTGCTACATGTTTGTTTAACACTCCCTTAATGGAGCTACAAAATAAGGCATTCATAGCACGTACAAAGCCGCTGTATGGCTTAAGGACTCCTCTAACTCCTTCTGAGGACAATGATGAAACCACTCACTGGTTTCATTTGGGTCAAGGTGATGGCTGGATTCTCAGAAAACAACACTGGGCCAACCCCACAAAACAACAAACAGTTCTAACAAACACCAGTAACTGCTCTAAGCACCAGCAATCCTTGGACTGAGCCCTTGTGCAAGTGCTCCCTGTTGCAAAATAACACAGTGCGAAGCAAATGTGAGGAACATTTTCTTGGCAACAGACAGCAAGTGTGTCCTGTGCATTACATTAAAAGTCATCACTGCAAACCCTTGCACAATATTGAGACAGTATAAGATATGCTTAAACCGCCTTAATTGCACGGTGGTATAGCACACGTTAGCAGTTGAGTTGCAGTGGCATCTCAGGGCAGCAAGAATGGAGCAAGGTCCTATAGCTCTAGGTACTGTGAAAAAACCTAGAGGTCCAGATGACCTCAGGCAGTCCCTGAAAGTCCCAGTCATCCTTGTTCTCCCTATGGCTTCCCTGGTTTGAGAGGTGTTCCTTTGTGAACTAGCATTTGAAACAGAATTGTCAGCACTGGCCTTGTTCTCGTCACACAACCAAAATCACCGCTGGCACTAGCTGCCCTTCCTGCTTATAGCTTTCACAGAGGTTAGATCTATACTGTAAACTCAGCAGACCAGGGCACTGTTTGACCCATGATCTGTGATGAGATCCAAGCTGAGAGAGTTGGGGTTGTTCAGCCTGGAGAAGAGAAGGCTCCAGGGAGGCCTTGTAACAGCCTTTCAGTACCTAAAGGGGCCAAAAAGAAAGCCGCAGAGGGGACTTTTTAGATGAGCAAGTAGCAACAGGCCAAGGGGAATGGCTTTAACCGGCCAGAGGGGAGACTGAGATGAGCTCTTAGGCAGAAGCTCTTCCCTGGGAGGGTGCTGAGGCGCTGGCACAGGGTGCCCAGAGAAGCTGTGGCTGCCCCATCCCTGGCAGTGTTCAAGGCCAGGTTGGACACAGGGGCTTGGAGCAAGCTGCTCTAGTGGAAGGTGTCCCTGCCTGTGGCAGGGGTTGGAACTGGATGAGCTTTAAGGTCCCTTCCAACACAAACCATCCTATGTTCTCCCAGGCTTTGTAGCTGTTAGAACCCTCTCTGGCACAGCACAGTCCCATCCCAGCTAGAGCTCTCCCAGATGATGCCTGGGTACACTTGGGAGACAGCAAAGGCCAAGGACTGTTCCCAGTATGCTGTCTGGATGAGGGCACCTGCTTGGGACACAGGAACAGGGGGAAAGAGCTGAATCATGTGGAAATGAGTCATGACATGCTACTTTGAGTTTGGGCTATTTTATTTTCTAGCCATGGCCGCAGGACTTAGGGAATGAATGGATGCTCTTCCTGAGGCACTGAACTACTTCTTCCTGAAAAAAAGAAGTTGCTTACTGAAAATAGCACTTGGGTGAGAACATGCAAAGAGAAAGCTCGCTGCTTTTGACAAGGTTTGCCC